GGCTGGGGTTTCAGAAATGTTGCAGCCTTTTTGTATCTACCTGTGGAGCCCAGAGCTGATTCTTTTGTGCTTATCAAGTTCTGACGAGTAAGAAGTGACTTGTAAAAGAGTAACTTGGATATTGCTATCACACACTAGGAACAAATGCTGGATTTTCAACTTAAAGACCCCCCCCAGAAGGCTCAAACTATATTTGCTTATTTATCTTTTAACAGCCAAATCACTGACCGAAAAGAAGCATACATGTACCTTGGTAAGCTTAATAAAAATATTAACAGTGTAGATGCAGGAAAAGGTAACCTGTTTTTAAAAGTGCTTAAGGATTAGCTAAAGGTAATACACGTTACTATTTGTAGGGCAGAATGTATAGTTGCTGCAAAAACCTGTGATGCATAACTGCCCTTAAAAGCTTTTTTCTGTAAAGAGTTAAGTCACTTGAGCTGTGATTATAATATTCTCCCATTAAACTGGGTCAGGTTCAGGGCAGAAGAACTGATTTTGCTTATGTTAAAAGAAGGCTGTTTCAGAGACCACTAGCCCTCTCTACATGGAGTGAAGTTCATGCATTGATTCAGGAGCGCGAGCGACGCGAGGCTGCTCAGCGCTGGTGGGAGTGCGGGGCGGGAGGCAGGCTGCGCTGCCTGCCATGTGGAGGTAAAGAACCAACTCACACTACAAGCTCCTGCAGTCAGGAAGTGTAGCTACAGCTACAGTCTGCTGAGCATGGCCAGTGGCTCATGTCCCTTGCCCAAGGTACAGTCCCCAGGACGGCCTGGAGTTGCATGAATGGGCCTTTGTTTGCTGCCCCTAACTTCTTCTGTGTGCAGGCTCACCAGCCACTGACTACTCCCTGTTCCCGTCGCAACGTTTCACTGGGATCTGCAGAGGTTAACAAATGGCTGGAGGGAGAATATTAGTGCCACGTGTTCAGTTGGACAAAGTGAGATAAAAAGCTGATAAAGGAATTACGTATTATATTTCTTAGAAAGGAATACAATGCATAGATAAGCATAAAGAAAAATTCTCTTCCCAGTGAACCGCCCTAGCAGGGGAGACAGTGGGGTCTAGGGATCAGTTAAGTATTTCCTGGCAAGTGTGGGAGCAAAGCGGTGAGCCTGAGGGCCTGTGCGAGCAGGTCTTAGAGGGGCGGCAGTGTGGTTTCCCTGCGTGCCAGGGCCGCTGTACAGCCATCTGGCAGAGCAATGCAAAGCAGCTTCTGCAACATCCTTAGGCAAGTCGGCTCCTGTTCCACTGGCACCATGTGCAGTCCTTTCTCTTGCCACCTTCTTCCTAAAGACTGTGCTGTCTCCCTCTGCACAGGCTGCGGGCAGGATCAGTGTTCCCAGTTGGAGGTACCCACTCTGGCCAAAGGAGATGAGTTTCCAGATGGTCTCAGCTCCTTTCACTGAAAAAAACCCATTTCCTGGACTTGATGTGCATACAGCTAAAGAGATGAAGAGAGTTTTGAGGGGAAAGGAAACATAAAGCAATCAGAGAAGGGACTGTTACGGAAGAGGGATGGGAACTTTAGAAAAAGGGAGGAAAGGAGGTAGATAACTGTCAAGGAATAGGCTGGACTAGAAACATAAGGTTTTCTAGGAAGGTCTGAGGCTTTGTAGAACTGTCAGCACGTTACAGGAAGGTAAGTCATGTTGTTTTGGATGTATTTCGACACAGAGTACGCAGAATGTGTCTCCTACCTCTAAGCCCTTACTGGGACAACTTAGAGAGTTCTTTATATACATTGCTTCTGTGCTGACATTTCGTGTTACACTGCCTATTTTTTAACTGAACAACTACCAAATTTTCAGTGTGACATGACAAGGCACCCTCTGCGCTAGTGGTGTTGCCTACACTTCCCCAGAGGTGCCCAGCCTTCTGTTCTGAGGTCGTTAGCTGTCACTCCACTCTCGGGTCAGAGGTGTACGGGTATGTGGGGTGTGCAGAGAGTCAGGGAGCAGATTTTCCTCCAGCTGAGTGAGGAATGAGTCATCTTTGCTTTCTGAGGTTGGCCATCTATATGCATGGTCTTGCCCAACTGATGCGTCAGGGTTGCAGCATGAGGTCTCTGCTGGCTGGCTGGTAGGAAAACGGGCTCAGGGCAAGGTGGTAACAAGCCCACGTTCAAGCAACTTCTTGAGGGAGAATACAAATTAAATTGGCCGGTCTTGTATAACCAAACAATATATTTTGTCAGCTCATTACTGCAAGCAGTATGCAGGAGAAATCATTTGTTGCTTCCAGCTAGATAAAACCCACACAGCTAGAGTCATAGTGTCCATGTGTGAGCTTGGCCAACGCAGGGCTTATCTGAGGTTCCTCCGCCTTCGATGTGCCAGAACGGCTCTGCAGTTCAGAAGGTTTGTACGCACGACATGGAGTATCCGCTCTGCTGTGAGCAGTCGTAGCTTATCTGCAGCATTATCATAAATCAGTGCATTCATGAAATCAGTTTCCCCGTGAACTTTGAAATGACCTTAGCAGGTGAAATTTCGGTGGTATCTGTAGCTCTGTACTCTCAAGAAAGATGAATTATCACCACTGCTGTCTAAAGCAAAAATATATTATTACGCTGTAATACACTGTATTACACTGGGTGAGGTGAGGGTTGGAGGCTGTCTTGGGCACAGCAATCACAAAATTATAGTTTCTGATTCTTGGAGAAGCAAGGAGGGGGGTCAGCAGAACTGCCACCTTGGACTTCCAGAGGACAGACTTCGGCCTCTGTAGGAGACTGGTTGACAGGGTCCCTTGGTCGGCAGTCCTGAAGGGCAAAGGGGTCTGGGAAGGCTGGACATTCCTCAAGAAGGAAATTAAGGTGCAGAAGCAGGCCATCCCCATGTGGCAAAAGATGAGCCAACAGGGAATAAGACCGGCCTGGCTGAACAGAGCACTTTGGCTAGAAGCCAGGGAAAAAGGAGTTTATGACTTTTGGAATAAGGTGCCCCTTAATTAAATTAAGGCAACTCAGAAGGGCTGCAAGGATTTGTAAGGTTATTCAGGGAGGAAATTAGAAGGGCCAAAGCCCAACTGGAACTTAATCTGGCAACTGTGGTAAAAGACAATACAAAATGTTTCTATAAATACATTAAAAACGAAAGAAGGGCTCCTTTATTAGACACGGGGGAAACACAGTGACAAAAGCTGAGGAAAAGGCTGAGGTCCTTAATCCCTTGTTTGCCTCAGCCTTTAATAGCAAGGCCAGTTGTACTCTGTGTACCCAGCCCCCTGGGCTGGAAGACAGGGATGGGGAGAAGAATGAAGCCCTCACAATCTCAGGAGAAATATTCAGCAACCTGCTGCGTCACTGAGAAACACACACGTCTGTGGGGCTGGATGGGATCCATCCAAGGGTGCTGAGGGAGCTGGCGGAACTGCTCACCCAACCACTTCCCACCATTTATCAGCAGTCCTGGCTAACTGGGGAGGTCCCAGTGGAATGGAGGTTAGCAAATGTGGCACCCATCTACAAGAAGGGGCAGAAGGAGAATACAAGGAACTACGGGTCTATCAGCCTGACCTTGGAGCTGGGGAAGGTTATGGAGCAGATCATCTTGTGAGCCATCACGTGGCACATACAGGGAAAGGCTGTGGATGTTGTTTACCTGGACTTCAGTAAAGCCTTTGACACTGTTTCCCAGTTTCCGTTCTCCTGGAGAAACGGGCTGCTCATGGCTTGGATGGGTACACTTTTCACTGGGTAAAAACCTGGCTGGATGGCTGGGCCCAAAGAGTGGTGGTGAATGGAGTTCAATCCAGTCACAAGTGGTGTTCCCCAGTGCTCAGTACTGGGGCCAGTTCTCTAAGATCTTTATCAATGACCTGGATGAGGGGATCGATTTCACCCTCAGTCAGTTTGCAGATGACACGAAGCTGGGTGGTCGTGTTGATCTGCCTGAGGGTAGGAAAGGTCTTCAGAGGGATCTGGACAGAATGCCCTGCTGCCCCTCTAGTACCTGCCTGAGGTTACAGGCATCTACCATGTTTCTCCCTGCTTCCTCTCCCTGTATCTCTTCTTACATTAATTATAGTCATACAGGTAAAACTGAGAGTGTGCTGTAGTTAGTGATTCCCACTCAGGTTATATGCAGTATTTTATGTCCTTTTTGCTTGTTTCTGAAGGAAAAATCTTGATTTCAGAATGCTGGTCATAATTTGAATATAGATGAGGCTTGAAATCCACAGCAGAGGCACGCGGTGTTGACCTCCGCCCAGCCCTTCGCGCCAGGACGTTGTGCCAGGAAGGGGCAAGCGTGCGGGCGCCTGAGCAGTGATGGGGTGTTGGTGGAACCGATGGGTCAGGCAGTCACTTGCAAATCGAGGAGGTTGTTGCACACACTAAGAAACACGCATCCTCTTGCAGCAATTTCTGCTGACTTACTGATTTTTGTTTTCCCATCAGCACGATCTGCACATTGTCCTTGGTCACTGTTCACTGACAGCCGTTCCAACGGATTAATGAGTAACCGGACTGCAAAGCTTAGGAGTCAGGAGCAGGTACAGCCAGAGAGTGTGTTTGGTAAGCAGCTTGCACAATAGCATGGTTTAATGTATCAGCTGGGCTCAAATCCATTTTGGGTGTCACCAAAGTCTTCGTGTTCTCACCGTACCCCTGCCGCTGTGAGTTCACAAGCCACACTGCCTTTTTCTCTCTGCACCTACAGTGCTACCAGCAGCCGTGGGTTTGGAGGGCGGCCTCCCAGGGAGCTGGGTAGAGGAGATAGCGTCCAGCCAGGGCTCTTGCTTTCCTCCCATGATGAGAGCGACCGTGGGTGGGATGTGAATGCGTGACAAAGCGATCACGAAGATATAAGCACTGTAAAGAGTGAGGTTTCAGCAGAGGGGTGGTTTGTTTTCATTCCAGCACGTTGGCTGATTAAGGGGTGGGACTCCCAGATGGGAGGCTTGGCTAAAAGATCGGAGCAGTGCACTTGGAGGAACATTCCACAAGATCGGCTTCCAGTGTGTTGGACAAGACTTGTATCACCCATCTGACTGCATTCTTGGAGCAAGACGGCAGTGGTGGCAAGATTCAAAACAGACACGCGGTCAACATGAGCATGGCAGGCAAAGTAAGCAAAAGTTTGTGTTAGAAAAGGCTCTTTGCTGCAGCTGAGTAATGCGGTTTTAAATGCAATTTCTTTTCAGGGACATCGTAAGTAGTGGTGGTGTAGCACAGATGAGAGTTTAGGAGGAAGGTGGTACAGGAGAGCTGCCTTGACTTGCCGGCCACTGTACTCTCCCCGGGAATGGTTGTTACACTCTTCAGTGCCTTTATTTGTTTGTTTGTTTAAAAAAATACATACTGTTAATATTGTGTTGTATTTCAGGGTGTAATTGTGCCGATGTTAGGGCAGTCATTACATTTGAATATGCATGTGACAAGTCTGGAGATAGAGTTAATGAAGAAAGGTTCACATGCAATGCAGTACTGAGCTGGGACTGAAACGAGTAGTGGCAGCTTTGCCAGGAAGTGAATGACGGTGTCACTTAGGAGAGATGTAGGTTAATGACACGGCCGGAGTCAGTGTAGGCTGCTTCTTGCACTGCCTGAGAGGTGCTGGCACGTACCCGGAGGCATGCAGGAGAGGTCGATGGACAGGAACCCAGAGGTGGGAAACGACTGAAGGCATGTACCCTGCTGGAATGAGCCGTAAAAAAGTACCAGGATCATTTGCTGTCACTGCCAGCTGTCTTCACTGCTCTAAAACCAAACAAACCAAGAGGAAAAAGATGCTGTCTTTTGCACTGGCTGTATCTTGGAGTTAAATTAACTGTAGTTCACTCGTAGGTAAATTCACCGAGTTCAGTCCTCCACCCAGCTTTGGACTGAGCGTGGTAAATGAAGTGTTGCGGTGGAACTAAACTGCCTTGTTTTCACTGTGTTTATCTCACACGTGAGTTACCGTGCAGTTTGCCAAGCAGCATAATCCTTACGCTCTGTGACACGGAGGCTGTGTCTCTACACCCCTGCTGCAGTGACTTGTGAGGCTGGTAGAACACAGGAGCAGAAAAACCCCTGCGCCTCAGCTAGCGCATGCCCTAATAGACGACACGAGCGATGGCGTGCTGCCGGTGCATCTCTGGGATCCTGCTAGGGTGGGTGAAAGTGCACAGGGACTCAGCCATCAGAACGAGACATAGTTAACCAGTGTCTAATTGTAGGAGAGATTGCTTTCTTCTCAGCGATTTACAGTTCTCGGCTACTTTTGTTCTTATAAACACTACGTGTGCTTTGCATGTGCTTTGTGTGTGCAATCGTTCTTGTGCTGCGTGGGCTTATAAAAACATAAGCCCTTTTTTTTTTTTTAAGTAAGTCTTCTAGACGCCGTGGCCCTTTAAAATGTGATCTTTGGCCTCACTTGGGAATTTTTTTACTAATCACACTTGCATTTGACACATGAAACGTTAAATTTAGTGCAAACCTACCTCGAGTCCGTCTGTTTCAAAGCGTTGTGCTCATTCCCACTTCGGGTCTGGCTGCTGAAAGTGTGCTGGTCTATTTCATATGTTTAGTATTTCCTAGTAATTATTTTCTTTGTAACCAGTTGACAATTTGTTGATGATCAGACATCACTGTACTTTGATACTTTTAGTATCAAAGCTTCAAAAGCTTTGATACTAAAAAGTTGCTTTGTTTTTTCCCCCCCGAGAGCTTTGCAGCACACTGGTGTTAAGCTGTCCCAGGGTACTTACAACGTCTTGCATCGTGGACTCTGTTCGCCTCCATGACCCTCTCAAGATGATGCCACCTGAACGCTTACAGTCAGTAGGACTTCACAGAGTGGCTGAGGATTTAATACGGAGTGTCAACCATACGGGTGACCTGGATATTCCAGGGCCTAGAGTCGTTTAAAGTTCGGGGATGGGCAGAGAACACCAAGGAAGACCAGGAATGAATACAGGGACAGAGAGGCCCCCCTACCTTTGAATACACTAGGACTGAGCTAGCAGGGTGGAACCTGGGGCTACCTTCTGCCCGAGAGCCTGGTGTGCGCAGTACACAATGCTCCTCTCTCTTTCTTCTGAGTACGTTTTTTCCCTCCGGGGCAGATGATCAGAGGAGCTTGGAGGCTCAGCAGCACCTGGACAAAGCCTGCTGAGCTAATGGACAAACTTCAGCCTAACAGACAAAAGTAGCTGCCTTGGGCATCGGGACTAACCCCGCCTGAGTTAAATATCCCTTCTGAGGAGGAAGGTACCTTAGCGCAGGTAATTGTGCACTGAAGGGGCTGCCGCTTCTCCAGGGTTACCTCTGCATCGTGCAGATAGTCATTTTGCACAGGTGTCCTCTCAGCTGCCACCCCCGGCTGAACTCGAGCTGTAACAGACCATTTATAAACTTGTAGTGGGCTCTGAATTCCACTTTTAGCAATTTTGTCAGTCCCTGACGCAGGCAGTTCCAGGCGATACAGACTTTACCCCAACCTGATGTATGGCATCATCAAGTCTGCCGTCTCCCAGCAGACACAAATGTACACCAGTAATCCACCTTGGCAGAACTAATCTGCCGAGGAAGTCAGAAACAGGGAATGAGCAGTGGGGACGGACAAGGTACCCACTTACGTGAGGAGACTGCTACACATGTTGACAGAAACGTGAACAATGACATCGTGTTGGTGGGGTATAAACGGGTTTACACTCTGCTTTGCTGCTGGCTTTTTTGTTGCATTTTGGGTTGTTTTTTTCTTTTCCCCGTGGTTCTCCCTCTCCTCCTCCAGTTATGGGCAGGAGTTTCACATGCAGAAGTGAATCTGTCTCCGTGGTGACCTGCGAATGCATCTGCCCATCCCTTTTTCTTTGTTTGCAGGTTATTAAATGCAAAGCAGCAGTAATGTGGGAAGCCAATAAACCGTTTTCGATTGAGGACGTGGAAGTAGCCCCACCAAAAGCACATGAAGTTCGCATAAAGGTACTAAAAATAAAATTTAAAACAACTATTATGCCTTGCATTTTTTCTTGCTGTTTATCAGAATTATTGCCATAGATTCTTAGGATCCAGCTGGAAAACGTTCACCAATGAGTAGTTACTAATCAGTGAGCTCTTATGTAATGTGCTTCAAGTCCCAAATTTGATCATGAGGTTCTGTTTAAAAAAAAAAAAAAAAGTTTCCCAGGGTTGGGTTTTTGTTTACTAAGATACCTGTGCTTCTAATAGGCTGGAAAAGTTACAGTACAAGGCAAAAATCTGAATCTCCTATAGGAAATAGCTCAGTAGGGCTAGGAGTTCCCTTTTTTAAGGGGGTATTGAGCATCTGCTACATTCCAGGAACTCTCTCCATGGAATTCAGCAGCTGTTTTCACTTTAGAGCAGTTTGGTGTTACACAAGTGAGGAGAACCCTTTCATGGGCTGACAATGCTGATTGTCACAATAAAAGCTGTAAAGATATACCTGAGTGTTTCAAAAGAAATAGTGCTTTGCCACCAGCAAGAAAAGGCAAAATGTGATATAAAATACTGTAAAATGTGATATAAAATACTATATGTAGCTTAAATTATTGTAGATATAACACACACCCATATTTTAAATATGTAAATAATATTTAATAACAATAATGCAATTATATGTAATATTATGTCCTTGTATAATGCATATTTTATGTAACACATCTATTTTATGATCCGTTGTAATATAATATAAATATAAGGTATATAAAATACGTATAATACTTTATGTTTATAACCAATATGTGGTAGTTAGTTTACATTTAAATAAATTTTTAATAATATTGCAAACTTTTTCTATTTATGTATTTATGTATAAATATTAGGAAGAATTTATTTTATTCTGCTCTTCACACATAATTGTAGGGCTAGAACATCGTTTCTGCCAGACAGTCAGTGAGACCCCCTATGCAGCTCAGCCATGCCTAGCAAACATTCCCGAAGGAGCGTGCTTTGTACGTTGAAGACTAATATGAACGGTGAAAATCATGCATCACACCACCAAAAGTGTTTTACCTGTGGATTTATTGTGTACATAGGTGATTTTGGAGGGAAGCAAGTGACTTCTCCAAATATATGACATCATTTCATTTCTGCATATGACACAGTTAAATGCTGAAGCATTCTTGTCTTTCCTCTAAATCAGATCGTGGCCACAGGGATCTGTCGCTCTGATGACCATGTGATAACTGGTGCACTGGTTATGCCTTTTCCAATAATCCTTGGACACGAAGCAGCTGGTGTTGTGGAGAGCGTTGGGGAGGGAGTAACTTCGATCAAACCAGGTACGAAACAGCACGAAATACAAATCCTGTGCGGAGTTTCCAGGCTCCTCCTTAAGTCAGAAAAGATGCCATGCCTGAGTACGTGTATTGCAAAGAAAAATGTTCCAACTTGGATTTTTTCCAAGGATACCTTAAAGGATACTACGTGCTGTTTACCTTGTTCTGTGACCCCAATCTAGATTTATTTTTCAGATCTTCTATTCAGTTTATTTTGGGTTTGGCAAAAACATCTGCAGCTTGCTTTCCACCGACACAGCGCTTTTCCTTTCAGGGGATTAAGAACACAGGTTGTTTGCCGTTGGTTGTAGGCAGGTTAGCTCCAAGTTCTTTAAACACAGTTTACACAGGAATAATACAGGTATAGTTCACCTTACCTTGGGGCAAAGCAGAGCACTAAACATGTCAAAACACCTTCTTGTAATTCTCCTAACAGCTAAATAATCCATGGACTTCAGTAGAGCAGAACATAGGTCTGTGTGCTCAAATTACTTCCCTTTAAATGCATCAGGGCACGACTGGAGCGCCCATCCTGCTGCAGGCTTTGTGTGTGGGCAGCACCAGTGCAGGGGAGTGAGCTCCACCATCTGAGGGCTGGGTTGCCCTCAGGACACCTCTCCGGGCCGGCCGCTCCTCTCGCTGCACTCTCTTTGCACCACAGTGGGTGGACAGAGAAGTCAGTAAAAGATGCTGATTTTTCTCCAGCTGCTGCAAGATGCAGCAGGATTCCTGTACATCTTTACGGGACTGAAGAAATTCTAACAAGGGCTGAGTTATTAAGACAAAATATGCAGTGAATAGAATCTGCATGGAGGTGCTCCGTTTCATCCCGGCAGTTTGTTACAATACCTAAGTAGTCCACTTGGAACATCTTCCAGTGCTCACGTACTTGCTCATACTGGCAACAAGCATGAAGTCTTCCCAAAGCAGGTTGGTGTCTGTGATAAGAAGTTTTATTAGAGATTTCTGCTTTAACTCCAAACAAATAGGTATATTGCAAATTTCAGTAATAGCTCTAACTATTTTTTCTCTTATGTCTGGGTTTATAAATCTCACTGTTGTCTAATTCCAGCTGCCATGTGTTTCCAGGCAAGCTGAAACAGCAGGCCTGAAAAAAAAACCCACACAAAACTGTATATCTCTCCAATCTCTCTCTCCTCCCTCTCCTCTCTCTCTCGTTTCTTTGGTGTTGCTTAATTTACACCTCCCAATTGTAAAAAAGGCTCCGAGATGTGCAACATTTCTTTAGCAGAATGACTACTGAAGCCCATGTCACAGTTCTAAGTTAACTGAGGGTCGGGGCAGTAGGGACATTTCATGTTCTGTAGGTATTTTCCATTTTTTAGTGCAAATCAAAGATTTCCTTTGACTTTCAACATGTCAAAGATTAGCCACATTTTACAACTGCCACATCACAAATTGATCTCTGCTAGGGGTTACCTGTTTAGGGATTATTAGGGATTTACCGTATGTTGTTGCTGCGGAAAATGCACAGCAGGGAAAAATTGCGCTGGGAAGCTCTGTGCTACTTTGTTCATCGTACAGTTGTGCTAGAGAATGAGGGTTGTTGTCTTAGCCTGTGGGTGCCACTGCTTCTCTGACAAATATTTTACCTGCCTTTACTCCAGGGCAACAGTAATAGGACTGCGAACAGCAAAGCGACTCAAGAGGGCAAATTGACGCTTAACTTCCCATTCTTTGTATGCAGAGTTTACAGCCCTGTTACCCTGGTGTGCCAAGCTCCTGATACAGGGGATGCCAGGTTTTATCTCAGTTTCTCTACCTGTCTATTGCTGTTTTCCTTTCAAGTAGAAGATGCAATAAACTGCTGAATGGCTACTTGGGAATGTCAGTAGCTATCGCAGTTTTATGACATAGCTTGGACTCAGTTCTATGAAAGACACCAGGGATTTTTCATATTGAAATCAGTTGTCATAGCTCTGCACTAATTATGCCCTTTATAACAGAGAGGGATGGTTCATCTTCCAAGAGCAGCAGAAGGAAATAAGAACAGCAGTGCACTCCTAGTTTGTCTAGGGATTAAATATTTATGGTTTTACCTGCATGCTTCTTGTTCGCCTCTTTTAATCCTCCATCATTGCTGTTTTATTTGTAGGAGACAAGGTTATTCCCCTCTTTGTGCCACAGTGTGGGGAGTGCAGCAGTTGCTTAAGCACCAAGGGCAATCTGTGCCATAAAAACGAGTGAGTTTTCCTAAGGTTACCTATGACCCTTATTTGGTTTTTATGTATACAAAACTGATCATATTCAACAGATTTCACTTGCCGTTATTTCTGGTCATCTTTCAAACAGCATTGGTTCGGGTGCTGGATTAATGCCTGATGGCACCACTAGATTCACCTGTAAAGGAAAAGCAATTCACCATTTTATTGGTACAAGTACCTTTACTGAGTACACAGTAGTGCATGAGTCTGCTGTAGCCAAAATCGATTCTGCTGCTCCCCTGGAAAAAGTTTGTCTAATTGGCTGTGGATTTTCAACTGGTTATGGGGCTGCTGTGCAGACGGCCAAGGTAAGTATCGTGGTGGGTGCTTCTGGTATCTCGTGGGGTCCGTTCAGGATTGTGTGGCCTGCAAGTGGGTTGTCAGCATGGCAGACAGGACGTGTGAACTCAGTGTTGAGTTCAGGGCGGAAAGAAGATACTAGTTTTTTGCCTACTTTAGTTTCTCCGTCTCTAAGGTACTCGGAAGTCTTCAGCTCAAAATCCTGTAAAAGAACTTACTCCCATCCATTCAGTTTTCTCTCATAGCATTATCACCCCTAGAAAAATGTTACAACAGAGCTGATGTGTCTTACTGTAACTTAAGTCTAGGAAGACATGGAAGCCTGTAATGCCACACTCATCATCTACAGCACTACACGAATGTGACTTTTACAGCTGGCACTGTCTGCAGTGGCGTGACACTGCAGATCTTAACGCCACTGGAATATAAAGCATCATTAAAAAAGTGTGTCTCTAAACCTGAAGCTGGTAATGAAAACCTGGTCTCAGACATGTATTTTAGGGGCAATTTATCTTAGTCACATGTGGGATTATAACAGTATAGCTGGCCACTGCACTAGTAGGTGTGCATGTGCAAATTCCTTCTCAGCGGGCAATCTCTGAAGTACAAGAAGTGCCTTAAGTGAAAACATGCTGATAATAAGAAAAGGCATTGTACTTTACCTAGACTGTAACAGAATGCCGTGTTTATGTGGTTATTGTAGGTGGAACCGGGCTCCACTTGTGCCGTCTTCGGCCTGGGAGGAGTTGGCCTCTCTGTTGTCATGGGCTGCAGGGCGGCTGGAGCTTCCCGCATCATTGCCGTTGATATCAACAGTGACAAGTTTGCCAAGGCCAAAGAGCTGGGAGCCACAGACTGTGTCAACCCTAAGGATTTCAAGAAGCCTATTCATGAAGTGTTGATGGAAATGACTGGCCATGGTGTGGACTACTCCTTCGAGGTCATCGGCCGTACCGACACCATGGTATGCAACCGAAAGATGTGGTCAGACGAGGCATTGGCTGGTTAGCTCGCTCTTTGCTGACCCACTGAGCACCAAGGGTGAGGAGCTGAGAGCCACGGGCAAGGTGTCAGGCTGACTTCAAACTTGTTAAATCCAGCTGTCTGCCGCTGAGATGCGGGGACAGAAGCATGCTCAGAAACTTAGGACAGGAAACTTCAGTGCAGCCCCCTTTGCTAACCAGGGTGGCTAGGTTTCACCTAGCGAGCATCTGTGATCCAACAGTGCCATGTCACTAATGACTAAGACAAAGCGGGGACGCAGAACAAAGCTAGGGCATATCTGACCCGTGATGGCAGATACAGTGCTGCCAGCAGATACAAAAAAAGAACTGCGAGCTGAGCCCTTAGAGAAGGAGGAGGAGTTCAAACTTCAGCACATGGTGCATGATTCTGGGCTGTCCCTCTGTTTCAAATGCAGACTGCAGCCTTGGCCTGTTGCCAATACAACTATGGAGTCAGTGTGATTGTGGGAGTGCCCCCTGCAGCACAGAAGATCACTTTTGACCCCATGCTTCTCTTCACTGGTCGCACCTGGAAAGGGTCTGTCTTTGGAGGTAAGGGCTTGGAAAGACACGACTTAATCTCCTTGGGAAACGTATAAATCACCTTGAATGAAATGGGATATATCTAAATACATTGCTTAGGTTGTCCAACTGGAAGTAATATTGATAGCTGTTTTGCTGACAAAGAAGCACAAAGGGAATTAATTATGGGAACTGTTAACAAACAGGTAAATAATAGTGAGGAGAGAGAAAAACAGAGGGGGAGATAATAAGAGGCAAAGAAAGGGAAAGTAAGAGTTTAAAAGTCAGAAAAAGGGGGGAAAAGAGGAGAACAAAAGTAAGAGAGAAAATAGAAAAAAGAAAGGGAGAGAGAAATATTCAGATAGAAAAAGAGGGGGAGGGGAGGGAGGAGAAGAGAGAAAAATAGAAGAAAAAGATAAGGAAAAAGAAAAGAGAAAAAAGAGGAAATGAGGAAAAGATAAGGGGGGCAGAGAAGGAAGGGGGAGAAAAGGAGCAAGAGCAAAAAGGAGAATGAGAGGGGTGGAAAGGCAGAAAGAGAGGGAAAGAAAAAGAGAGTGGGAGAGATGGAGAGTCAGGACCCTAAAGGATACTGGGGATCAGACCCAGCTGATTTCCACATAGGTCAACCCCAGCTCAGCCCTCTGCCAGCTGCTGTCAGTTCCTTCCGGTTCTTTCTCTTTCCTAAGCTCTCCCAGAGGAGTCCCACGCTCAGCAAGCCCCAGCTCACTCAACGCAAAGCTGAAGGCCACAGAAGGCTTGTTTCCAACAGGTTTTCTCACTCACCACCAGTTCCTCTGTTGTATAGCACAGACCCCTGAATAAAAGAGCTCCTCTGGAAGGGTATCTTAATATTTGAGACAGCTTTATCTAGTCCTGCTTGTAAGAAAAAAGACAGACATACACCCCACCCCCCTGATTTTGACCAGTTCCAGTTACTAACGTGGATGTCAGCACTCTGGCTTTTCTATCAAGTGTGATTTAGTGGCCAATGTATCAGTAGACAAGTTGAAACAGTATTTAATGTGGGGGGGAAGTTTGGATTCTGTAAAGATTCCAATTTTCACTGGCCTTCTACCAGTAAAGCACTTACTGAGTTTGTCGTACGTAGAATAGCTGCACTTCCTGCTGGCACCCTGTGTCACAAAGGTAGAGACATGCTGCAACATCTCATCGTGCTGTTCTGCTAGAGAAAGTTTATCTAAAAATTTAAGCTGCTGTTTTACCTGTTTACACAAGCATTTAAAGTTTCATTGTCCATTGTCTGTGGTTTTCTTCAGGCTGGAAGAGTAAAGATTCAGTCCCTAAACTGGTTGCTGACTACATGAAGAAAAAATTTGTTCTGGATCCATTAATAACCCACACACTTCCCTTCACTAAAATCAATGAAGGATTTGAGCTTCTAAGGACAGGGAAGAGGTAAACATTGTTTAATTGTAAAGGTTCTATAAATAACCTAAAGGAGCTGTACAGTAACACGGAGTATGACTTCGTGGCAGAGAATGGGGAAGGCAACACACTGTGCCCCCAAATCTCTGCCAGTGTGTGTGTCCGTGGGCTGTAGCCGTAGTAATGAAGCCAGCAGAGCTTTAGCTTTGGAAATGCTGTGGGCCCTGGCTTCCCTTGCAGAGGAACTTTCCCATTCTAGCTTGAGCAAAGGCTCCGGGCAGCACAGGGAGAAAAGACCACACAAATGAGGATCTCTATGCCCACTGCTCATTGGAAAGGAGTATATGCCGAGCTGTAGGGTGCCAGGGTTAGCTACATTGCATTCCAACAAACTTTTTAGGATGAGGGGCAGGAACACAGAAATAGCCTGTTTACTGGATGAGCAACTCAGCATTCCTCTTGTGAGTTAGGGAATAGAGTCCCAGTGCCATTTGTCCTAAAGCCAGTGTGTAGTTCACCTTGAATGTCAGAGTCCAAAAGGAAAGCACTTGGTGTACGTATGTATATGCATTGCAAACTCAAGAGTTTAGCTCTCATGCATTCCTCAAATACTGTGAGAGTTCAGCCCAGATGGTTTCCGTAGGATGTTGAAATTGGAAATTTGGTTTGACAGAGACACTTGACAAGATTCACCATAGGACTACTGCAAAATTCTCCTTGGCAAAAGTGGGAAATACATTTGTGTATCTTAGTATGTGTGGGGATTACCTTTTTTGCGAGTTCTAGCTGTTACAACTTCCTGGAGAATTGCATTAACATTGTCATTTGCTAGCAGTTATTTTAGGTGTTACTTGCTCGAAATATGAAAAGCATGTAAAAGAAGAATTTAGTCCCTGAGGTTTGTTCCCAGGTTCTAACTATGCAGCACACAGTTCATTTTTTGGCTGTCCTTACTTTAGCTGTGCTGTAAATGTCAGGTGTAGATTTTAGTGTAACAGACAGGGGAAGGTGGCGAGGACAGAGACACCCTCAACTTTGCTAAGACCCTGAAGACAGAGGCACTCAGAGGTCAGTTATCCTTAGAACCATTTGTAATTGGAAAGATGAGGTTTTTTGCTTCAAGCTTGGGTTGGGAGGGGGAGGGAGGAAGTACCTGGTTGACAACAACAGCCTAGATTTTCAGCGAAAACAGCTGATGTTAGCCATGGGGCTTTTCTACAGTCACTGACTTGTCATTTTATGTTGCAGTATTCGCAGTGTCCTGGTGTTTTAGGATTCCCAGTTGTTAAGCATCAGATGGCTCAGCACCAGTACAAACTTCATTATCCTCCAATACAACTGGTATGAAATAAAACCCCAAGACATTTCTGAAAGGTCTGCCACAACCCCCCTTGAAAAAAGGATCAAGCTCAAACCCCAGACCTCAAGCACAGTGTTTATAAGTGAAATAATCTTTTTCCTCCTACTTCTTTCTCCTTATTCTTGTATTAAATCCTCAGTATTGTGCTGCAGTTTTCTTTTACTAGCCAGTTAGAAATTACAGGACCTGCTGCTGTCACAGATGTTATGAAAGGTTTGGATTTTTTAAAATGGGTCTTAATATCCAATCTTTCAATAAAAAGAAAACAAAGGGAACTGTTTTCTTCGGGCCCTCATATCACTGCAGTCTTAACAGATTTGTGCCTGTAGCTCAGCACAGTAAAACTCTAGGTCAGAACTATGTATTCATCCCGAATGATTTTAGCATTCCATTACCTGACTGGCAAGGAAATTACTGCAGAGATTCAAATTTATGGTGACCATGTAATAATTTCAGTAAATGATATTTAAGTAAATCACAGACTTAGGTACTGGAGAATGTCTCGCCACTGAATATTTTACCAAATTAACGCTTCCAGGCATTTTATGTACAACTGCTGTGTTCTGTGTTGTTGGGGTGTTTTTTTTAACTTTGTACGTCTTCCTGGGGGATGTTTTAGTTGTTGTATCAGTATGGTTTTAGATCTTGGACCAATTTATACAAGTGCACCTGATGCTCGGGAAACAACGTGAAGAATTACGCATGTGCATCACGTGTTGTTATTTGTTTCCATTAAATAAAAGGGATGTTTCTTAACCTTTATATGTGAATACAGAATGAATGTGAAGGAACAGGTGACGGGTAACTGAAAGAAATCTAACATAAAGGATCTTACTGCTTTCTGCATTTGTCACGTGGAAACAGGAACAGAGGCTATTTCTGTCTCGGCAGACGTGGTCAACGTTGACTTATCCTTTGAAAGCACTGATCAGAGCTTGCAGGCACTCGTGTGCGTGGTAGCTGGGTAGAAGAACCTGTAAAGTAAGGGGACTGTGTGCTAATGAGGACTGACTTGTTTGTGTCAGCAGAAAGCGTCCTTGAGCAGACCAGCTAGGTTAATGATTTGGGAGTAAGTTTACTAAGAGATTAGACTTTAACAGAAGAAGATCCTTAAACACGTGCGCGTATAATAAACTCAGTTTACACAGCAATTAAGCCCCAAACTTCAGGCATTTGTTTCTGTGGGGTTACCTGTGCAGTCAGTGCTGAAGGTATTTCAGCTACCATTCTATTTTAATAATCTCTACTGTTCAGTTTCTTTGAAATAATAAAATTACCATAACTATGTTGACTCTGAGCAGCCGGTAAGGACTTTGGTGAAGTTGCAGCATGGATATATTTTTATATATTTACATGTATCATACATATATATTGTGTATAACTATAATTAAGTTTGTGGAAAGCATGTCTTGATTTTGCATCATCATACACTGTGATGGAAAACATTGGCTGGAACAACTGAGTTACTTCATTGTCAGATTTGGAAACATGCCTGGCTCTAAGTATACCGTGCTCACAGCCAGAACACAGGTTCTTTATACCCATGTACATGTGTAGACAACACCCATCCACAGTAAAACCACATGTCAGAAGCAGTATCTGGTTAAGAAAACGTAATGGACTTTATCCTCCAACTCTTGGTGTTGACGCCCCTCCCATGTCTCACAGTTTGCACCACTGCCTGACCCTGTCTTTTCTTCTTAATACAAACCTCTAGCACCTCCACCTCCCATTCCTCTGCCTTTAGAGCTAGGGACTGCTCATAACATCGGAGTCAAGATAGCCTCAAAACTCTGCCTGCAGCATCTCTGTGAAAGCTCCTAGTTCTCATAAATTCATTTCAGTCTTCTACAGGAGAAGAAAAGCCTGCTTGGGACAGCCAAAGCCTAAGCAAGAACTCAGTAATTACATGTGCACACAGTGGCTCTGTGTCACAGAAATTATTTATAGAACAGTACCACAGAAACAGCCCCCTCATCTATTTTACAATGGAAATCCTTAGAACTGCCTCCCTCAATGAGTACAGCTCTCGGTAGCATTGTTTTACATTTTATTTATATACAACACATTTTTTCCCTGTAGAACAGGCAGAAGAATCACTTTGCCATGTCTATTATGAAGTACGCAATGTGGCAAGCCTGACTAGAAATGCAGGTTTTGTGCTACAGGTGAACTGGAAATAAAATATCCCCGAGAGACAGAAAAAAATTCCCGTGTTTACCCAGCACCATCACCAGACAGCACTAACAACAACATTATTATGGAAACTTAAGCAGATTTTAGCAAAGTTACCTATACCGCGCATGGATGGCTCGTGTTGTAGCTCCTGACAGGACTACAGATGTGGCTCTAACCGTACTACGTTCAAACGGACCCTCCTGTGTTTCAGTGTGTTCCCATTGCCTCTGGTCCCACCACTGGGCACTGCTGAAAAGAGCCTGGCTCTGTCCTCTGCACCTTCACTTCAGCTCTTTGTACGCATGGATGAGACCCCCTGAGCCTTCTCTGTGCTGAACAGTCCCAGCTCTCGGCCCTTCCTCACAGGAGAGATGCTCCAGACTGCTAATCATCTTTGTGTCCCTTTGCTGGACTCCCTACAGGATGTCCATGTCCCATTGGTACTGGGGAACCCAGAACTGGCCATAGCACTCCAGGTCTGGCCTCACCAGTGCTGAGCAGAGGGGAAGGATCATCTCTCGACCTGTTGGCAATACTTCATCTAATGCAGCCCAGGAATTAGCCACACGGGTAATGTTGTGTCTTTGCCACAAGGGCACAATGCTGGCTCATGTGTGACCTGGTGTCCACCAGCACCCCCCGGTCCTTCCCTACAAAGATGCTCTCCGTCTGGGTGCTCCCCACCACGTCCTGGTGCACAGGTTCTTCCTCTCCCGGAGTTCACCTGCAGAACCTAGGGCTTTGCACACCTACTCCTCAGCTGACTGCAGTAACTTCGAGCAAACTTCTACCTTGCTGGAAAAGCTTCACTGCTGACTTGTATAACCACCCTAAACCCTAAAGGACTGGAGCAGACACAAGAAGCGTGAGGTGGAAGAATCACTTAATAGGTCACAGAGGTCTGCATTGAAGGATGTCTGAAAATACTTTGTCTTCACAAATACTTTTGTCATGCCCTTGTTTAGTGTGACTTTATCTGTATCGAGGGCCATTTTGCAAAGAGTAAGGAAAAAAAAACTTGCCCAAATTTCTCTTCAGCATGAGGACAGTTTCTATGGGGGTACAAAAAAATCTACTGAGGCAGCCAAACTCTGGCTTTCACAGCCTGCCGAAGGAGAGCAGTGCTACTGAGCTACTGACAGCCCACAGCGAAAGGATTGTACCAAGCTCTGCGGGAACAGGCACGTCTGAAGACAGCCAGTGAGTACCACACATACCCATGTCCTACATACCTATGTGTTATGTTTGTGGGTTGGGCTTTTTTCTGAAGTTTAAAGCAACTTTTACGTGGTTGATTTTCTCTGTTGCAGCAATCGAACTGTCCTTGTTTTCTAAGGACTGATCTCGTTTTTTGAAGACTCTCACTTGAACTTAAGCCTTATTTTTGGCTGGTCTCATTATGTAACAAATTTATGTAATACTTAGTATTTAATAAATGTACATTATGAATGTATATGCATTTAAGAAAGTGCAGCGTACACAAATACGGAATGGTTAGCATTGAAAGGTAATAAGGGACAGTAGCTAGCCCTGTATTATTTGAAGCATATCATATAAAGCAGTATATAACTTTCTTATTATCATGTAACATTTATACACGCATGTGGTTTCAATTTTGCAAATGCTGTTGCACTTTTAGTATATTTCCAGCACCGAGTCCCACGGAACATTACAGCACAGCTGTGCAAAATCTCCCCCAGAGAACCGGATTGCCACTGTGAGCAGATCATTCTGCTAAACAGACCCTTCTTTCGGTGGTGAACTTGGGACCCATAACACTGTAATGCCCTTTGATGTCTTTTGAGCAACTCTTATCCCAGTCCACAGCCCTTTGAACTTCTGGGAGCCCCTCAGAACGATCAGCAATTACACAGCACATCATGGGCACGCAAATGAGTTACCAAAGGTTAACAAATTCCATATTGTCTGCCAAGTTACAGTAACTTCTGCACACAGAACTCAGTTTGCCCTGCTATAAGTTACCTATAATTCTCTTAACTATGTTTTAAGCATAAATCAGTAAGACTGCAGGTAATGAGATAACATCAAAATAACTCATTAAATGTTTTATTTGAGTTCTAGCACTTCCCTATCAAGAAAACACTACAAGAAGTTCCTCCCAACAATGTTCCCCTGATAACTGCACATGCGTCTGCACAGCCTTAACTTTATACTAGTGACAAGTTCTCAAAAAAAGGTAATCAATTAACCTAATAACTCTGTAATAATTATTACAAATAAACAGATTTGCACAGTACTGGGACAAAAATAATATTTCTTTTGGAAAAAAATCTAAACCTAGATGAATCAAAAATTTGATTGCTATAAAGTCAGTTGTAACTTGCACTTTACCAATTACTCTGAACTGTTGCTACGTAAAAAATTCTGTAAGCGCTTCTGAGTGGGGACGAGTTCTGTCCTTGCAGCAGTGCCACGTGGTGGTTACCACTGACCTTATAGCACCTTCCAGTACCTGAAGGGGCCTACAGGGAAGCTGAGAGGGGACTTTTTACAAGGGCCTGTAGTGACAGGACAAGGGGTAACGGGTTTAAATTGAAAGTGGGGAGGGTTAGATTAGATATCAGGAAGAAGTTCTTCCCTGAGAGGGTGTTGAGGCACTGGCACAGGTTGCTCAGAGAAGCTGTGGATGCCCCATCCCTGGAAGTGTTCAAGGCCAGGCTGGATGCGGCCTTGAGCAACCTGGTCTAGTGGAAGGTGTCCCTGCCCATGGCCGGGGGGGGGGAACTG